GAGTCCATTCGCCCCATTTTGGAGAAGTCTATGAAATATTCTTTTTAACGTACTGAACTTCAAATGGGCATGGTTTGATTCACGGATGCTATTTAAGTTCGAGTTAACCTACTAATTTGTAGATCATTTAATTCTGAACTTCTTGAAATTTCGAAGATTCATTGGTTTGAAAAGATGAAACTAGACTTTTAAATTTTCACTCTTGTGATAGATTTTCCAATCAATTGTCTCTCACTATCTGGAATTTCAGTGTGGCTGTCGATATGTAATATATAGTAAGGGAAAGTATTGCGATCGTGAAAATTTTCGAATCTGAGTTTTCAACGGAAGTACATGTTTTGAGGTTCTACGAATCCGAATAAAGAAGTCCAGTAGAATGGTCTGTGCGTATTTAAGGTTTGTACATGGCAGGAATTTTCGTCAAACTTTTTCGTATAAATCAGCAAACCTATTTCTCTATACGTGGCTTTCATATTGTTAGTTTCACTTTTAAACATTCTAAAATGTTTTTTAAGCGTAATGTTGAGAATCTATTAAAATAAACGTGGATTGATGGTTGACTGTAGTGAATAATGAAGAGAAGGATAGTTGAGGTGATCAGTCAAAAATAAAAATGGCAAAAATAAATAACAATATTTATTTTAACATTTCCCGACGTTAAGGGCATCATCAGGGCTGATGGCTATTGATCGAAGAGATCGCTATTGATAGAATGATAGATATAGAATATGCTATTGATTCTATCAATAGCTATCTCTTCGATCAATAGCGATCAGCCCTGACGAAGGCCTGAACTTCGGGTCGAAACGTCGGTAAATGTTAAAATAAATATTATTATTTATTTTTGACTGATCAACTATACTTCTCTTTATTAATATAAACCTTATAATATTCAATATTTACTAATGTTATTTTTTCGACGTGTTTCGTGATAAATGTTTTCGATAAAACTCAGAATTTTTCAAATGATCCTTTTTTTCCCCACAATCATTCGTACTATTTGGTACTATACACAGTTCTAAAAGGGAATGAAAATTGATGCAATCGTATAACATGGTAATTAATTGTATTGAATTAATTTTTTTTTTTTTTTTTTTTTGACTTGATTCTTCAACTCACACCTGTCAGAAGTTCCGACAATCAGCGAGTGTGATGTCAAGATGTAGAGATTGGTCTTGGAATAGGCGTGAGGGAGAGGAGTGCGTCCTTCCTGTCTTGAGCGTAATATTTCTAGTTAGTGGAGGAGATCCCTCATCCAGCTTCTTTTAAGCCTCCTTCGGGTGCTATCGGGCATGTTAGTTGTGGCCATGCCTCGAATCAATGAGTTTGTATGTCCGTGTAAGTTATTATGAAATCGTTTGTAGTATGTTCGTATGTGGTCGTTAACTGTTGGCATCTGTAAGTCTTTATGTAGAGTAATGTTACTGACGTACCAGGGAGCTTTGGTAATAGTCCTGAAAGTTTTAGATTGAAAAGTCTGTAATTTACGTATGTGAGTCTTTTTGGCTGTCCCATATATCTGTAAAGCGTATAGAATTAATTTATACTGTCGTTTTCACTTTGACTTCTCTATACATAAAATTCTAATGTAATGTTGGTAAGTGAAAGTTGTGTGATTCGCTTACCGCACCAGTTTTTTGAAGTGAAAATTTCTCTGGTACGTTTTTCACTTTTTGTGGAGAGTGGATTAGATTGATCCGTCAGATCTGTCGTAAAATCTGGGGTGAACATTCGTAAATCATCGACCACTAAAAATTGAAAGAATAACCAGTTTATAGAAATCATTGCTGGGTTGTTTTCTAATGCAGTTGTTTGTGAAATGCAGGAAAACACTTTAATCCAGCGTGTGGAAGAAAATATAGATGCTTTTAGTAAACTAGGGGCTATTGATCGGTTTATCTAGAAATGTTCAGATTTTTTTTTCCTAATAATCTTAATGGTTTAAAAACTGGTTGTTGAAGCGAATCCGAATAATTCTTTAATTCTTGTATCAGTTTTATTTCATATTAATATTAATTATATTATAGTTTGTATAATTTGATAAACAGATGAACAACTTAAGGTCGCTTATCCACAATAACTTATCCATCTTCAACTGATCTGAAACATAGACAGATAAAAAGAATTATCACCTCTGTATGTTCATCAATAGCTGTTGATCCGCAAGCATAGTCTCCCCCTCTCCCTCATAATAATTTGAATTAAAAAAAAAATAAAAATGATAACAACTAAGCTACGTGAATGAATAAAATATGTAAACTATAATCGATTAAGAAAATAAGAAAAGTCGACCAGCTGACTAAGCTAAGGCCTATATTTAAACTAGGCTATAGCTAAGGCCTATTATTTAAATTTTCATTCATATTAAAAAATAATAATATAGAAACATATCGTTGTATTTTATGATTCATTCACCTTTCATCTGGACTCCTCCATTTTTACGTGATTTTTATATAAATTTTCTATAATAAAGTTGGGAAAATATATTTAATAAGTACAAATATAAATATATTTTATTGAAGTTATTTTTATAGATATTTCTACATAGTCAGACTGCGAAAACGTTTTATTTTTATTTGTAGATTGTGCAAACTAAGAAATTAAAAGCAGTTTTCAGTTTTTAACGATTATTCATTTTTAGCTGGAAAAGTTTTAGAAATGTAGCTATGTAGTTATATTGCTATATCCTTTCTCTCATGTTTAATGTATACAGATTGTAAATATATCCATATTGTTTTGTTCAAATATTTTCAAGTATATCCAAAAGCAAATAATAAAAAAAAAAATCCTACAACTGTCTAGACATATATATAAATTTATTTAAAAAAAATTCGATATTATATTATGTCCACACGTTTCATTTTGTTTGTACTTGTACTTGCATAGGCGAAATTTTTTGATATTTGTATATTATGTTGAGAAATGCATATTATATATAACATATGGGTCAGAAACTTGAACCATAAAAAGCAATCTCAGGAAGAAACTTCTAGCTACCGAAATGAACTACTGGAGGCTAACGGCGGGAATATTCAGAAAGGATAACGTCAGAAATACGACCATCAGAGAAAACATGGAGGCTAAAAGAACCATTCTGGAAGAGATTGAGATAAAACGCTTGAACTGGTATGGACATTTGAAAAGAATGCCTGAAACAAGACTACCCAAAGAAGTCGATTTATGGAAAACTAGGAGAAGAAGACGAGGAAGACCTGGGATAACGAAGTGGAGGAATTCAGGATGGTTCATGGTCTACGGGAAGAATGGACCTTAGATAGGACATTATGGAAAGAAGCCATCCAAGGTTTAGGTTAAGGAAACCCACTATTAGTGGAAACTC